GACTGGGGGTCTCCTAACCCTCTCCACTTCCACCAAACCACACGACAGGACTTTCGGCTCTTCATATTATTATTTAGAGTGCCCCCATGTTGCACAGACACTACATATTTACAAACATGCGTGTTTTCTCAGGAATTCGAACCCAGGGCCTTCGGTACCGCAGTAGGCTATACTGCTGTCTGGGCGACTTTGTTTCTGTATTTTATAATTTTTAGCATCGGATTTGCATTACTAGCAGCGGATGTGGATTAAAGTTGCTTTTTCATTGTGAGTGGCACCTCACCTATTATAATTCGCTCGTTTTCTTGTATAGCATTTGCAACATTTTTCGAAATGGAAGATATGTGAAGGCATTTCGAGATAAAATAAGTTAGTAAAATTGCTTAGAGTTAAAAAGTACATTTGAAATATTTTCTTTGGCTAACTCTCTTGTAAGTAATCCCAATTGCTTACCTTCTTGCAAAATATGATGTGAATTAAAGCTTAACCCATATTGAATTTACTCTGGCATCATATTGAATTTACTCTGGCAGGCTTGATTCTAGGAAGGCAGTGTGGTTAGTAAATCTACTTTAAAGGAATTTTTATTTTTTAGTTTATAGTGCTTTACAAAATAAATTTTTTTTAAAATTGAAACAGAAAGAAAAAGAGTCGTAATAAACTGGCTAATGGTGAATCCGCAGCAGATGAGTTTAAAATACCGCTTAGTTTTGGCAAAATATTTAGAACAAAAGTCTATGTATTTTTTCATATAAAAGTTCCTTTTATTTATCCACAGGAGCAGTCTCTAAATTTATGACTTTTCCTAACAATTTTTCTTGCATCACAGTACCATTATGATTCAGTATCACGTGAACGGGGGTGTGGCTTGACGATAGCTAATATTTTTATTTCATTTCCCGCAGGTGAGTTTGGTTTGAACACAGTACTTGTTATTGTACGATATATTTGCAGCAATAAAAAGCTAAGTAACTGAATGAAAGGTACGTGAAAATTGAATACATGAAAAACGAAAGATCCTGAAAACGTAGTAATATGAAATAAAAAAAAGATTTAAAAAAATCTGAAATTTTCAGATTTTATATTACGCCCAGAGGGGCTTTTTCTAATGTTTTGTGTGTTATCTTCATTTATTAAATATCATATTCTTCGCACATAAACCGTAAAATTCAATTTAACAGCAACATCACAAAATAATTTAAAAAGAGCATATCTTCAGAATTTCCGATACACAGTCTCTCGTGCTGGAGATAATTTTTTTTTCCCAATACAGTGTTGCCATTGCTCGCTTTGAAATCGTTAAGTTTGTTAATCAAAAATTCGTTAAAGTTTTACAAAATATGAAATAGATAATAAAATAAATTCCAACTTTGGGCTTCCAGATGACTATGTTCGGGTAGAGACGTAACGTTATTCAAAATTGGTTGGCTCTAGGCACTGTTGTTTTATCACAATGCGAGAAACATACAAACATTTATGCAGATTATTCACTGGGCGATAGTATTTGGTGGTAGCAGTTTGAAAAGTGATTCAGACTTTTAAACCTTTCGACGCAACTTTTTGTTTTGGTTTTGTGTAGCGGCCATCTTTAAATTGTGCCTTCCTGGCGCCGATCTTGGCGTCAAAAAAAGAATCACCAAGAAACAAGGGGCACCCAATTGTAAACTTTTACCCGTATTTTTTTCCATTGTTTATATACATGTAAGAAAATACCATAGCTGCTTTAAAAATAATTGGTGACCTCAAAATTAACGATTCTAGATTTGGTACTCTCCCCCTAAATTCATCTTTTCTCTCCAATTCGAGATCTTTTCATGATTATATAACAACCACAAATGAATTAATCATAGCTTAGAGTACTTTCTGTATGTACTTAGTATAAATACCGCTCGCAAATAAACTGCGTCATCTTCTCCTAGCTTCCGCCATGCCGCTTTTGCTTGTCCGCCTAAAATGATATCGCCCCCTTAGTCTGGGCATATAAGAAATTATTGTAATTGTTTATGATCCAAAAATATATTATCTACGAAGAATTATTCTAATGTGCCTGGAAATAAAGATGGTAATTAGCTGAACATTTTTGTCCCGTCTTGCCGCTCTGCTATCACGATACGCATCAAAAATATTACATACATTTATTCGTATAATCAAGAATCTGCATTTATTCATGCACGAAAGTGTACATTTATTCAAGTGTTGTCATCTTCTTTTGTAACGTCGTCATAAAGATCCAAATCCCGAACAGCAGCCTATTCCATTTCCTGCAGACCAGTGGCTCCGATCATTCATGTCTAGCAGTACAGCTTTTCTTAAACGAACACATTTCTAAATCCATGTAGCCTGTTCAAACTGAATTCGTAACGCAGCTGCGAGTGATCTTATCCTATGAATTCCTCAGCCAAGTCACGGCCGCTTGTAGGCTAGGTTTCAAAGTGATCATGCTGATTTTGCCCAGTTCTATTTTCACTCCTTCCATGCCCAAATTGTTTCAAAAGCTTGTTCAGTGCAAAATCAACATTTTGGAGATTTTCAGTCATTCCTGCGAGGATTATTACCTTAGCTATTCTTTCTGCAAGAAAATTCGTGGTGTCGTTAAAGTAATGAATATTGGCTGAATCCTAGACTTGTAGAACATACCTGGCCGCTTCGTAGAACACGTAGTAGCATTATATTGACCCACTTTCTAATACTTACTTATATTCACCAGGCTTTCTCGGTTTTAAGAACATGTGAAAAATGCGTTCAGTCTCAGCCTTCTTGTCTTTAGGAGTGACTAGAGATGACCTTTCCTTCCATCCCCAAGAATTGCCAAATATAGGTAACGTGTGCAATTTCTTAACCACTATAGAGAATGAAATCGACCCTTGTTATCAACTGTCATTTGAGATCTGTAAACTCTGCAGTTTGACCCATAACAATCACTTAAAAGAGTTGGTATTGATAAAAATCGATGATATTAATAAAAGGCTTAAAAAGCTAGGTCACGTATAAATAACTTTAGTATCTTCCTGCCTGAAGAGAGTTGTAAGATCTTCTTAGAGACAGTTTATATCGTCGAACGAAGCCATCCATTCAGCGTTGTGATACTTGAAATTCTTTGCTTTCATAAGCTTGAAAATTATAAAATTTCTATTCTTCCCGCAATACAGTAACGCTTCTTTCATGTATTTTCGCCGTCACTCGCTAAATCCTTTGTATAAATACGCAAATCAGTCCGGGTGGACTGGTGGTGTCGGTGCCTGTAAGCGGGCCTTCAACTAAGGCTTATTTTAGGACAGGATTTATGTTACAAATAACCTGAAAGATAACATTAGGGTTTATTTTCCGATTTGGTCTTATTTTCGGGAAAACGCGATAATGCTGTGATGTTTAACTTTATGGTGCAGTTTATTTATGCACTGGATACAGTATAAAAGCGTCTATATACTAACTCGTCATTGTAACTGTAACAATGCGAGATGATTTAAAAAATTAATATCGTCATAAATACTTCAGTTAAAATTTAAGAATAACATTTTCTTGCATTTTAACCTACTACAATCAATAAACGGTTACCTTAAATATACTTTTAGGAGAGATAATAGTTTTTGCTATTTTAATCAACGAAGAATAATGCCGTCTCCAGTTACAAATCGAAAATTATGGTTTCCTGGAAAATTTAGTTCTAAAATAAAAAAATACTGCGTCATTAAGCGCATTATTGGGTTGAGTATTACTAAAAATTCTCAAAAGTGAAATACAAAGCTCTAAAATAAACTTTTAGAACTAAAGTAATTAAAAGATGAAATATGAAGCAAGTAAATAATTCACTGTTTAATTTTCACTATTTCCGCATTCTTTCGGATGCTATACATTTCTTGTCATGTACATTAGGACTTTTGGATTGCTTCATATTGAGCTCTATGTGATCCTGTCGTCGCACTTTCATGGATTTCTGATATCCTTCTAAAATGGTACTTTTCGAAGAAAGATTTCGCTTTAGAATAAAGAAGATAACTAGCAGATGTACGATGACCCTTTTGTTTGCCATAGATTCTTTGTCAAAACTTGTATTATGCGAAGAAAACTTCTTCGAATCTCTCCGTTCAGTCATTAAATCCGTAACTGCAAGTATCAACTCCTTTTAAACGTGTTCCGTTCGTACGAGGACGATATTTTAACGGAAGCGAGTTGAATTGTGTTCGCAATCATTGCTGTCCTTAATGAAGCTTTCGTTTAGTTAAAAAACTTATGCCCCAACTTTGTATACTCACTGTAAAGATACAGTGCGACTGGGCGATGTATGCGACTGGGCGTAGAATATGCGAATTCGACTGGATGGATGTGGGTTCCTAACTTTTTTTCAAAACTAATGATACTGTAGAGTTCCTCACTCTTTTAGTACTAAAACAAACGTCGAGGAAATTAGTGAACTGTTGAGTTACCTATAGCTGAGTTCAAACAACTAAAGATGTAGACTCAAGAACGGTTAAAATAACCTTTATTTCATGAATTAAGAGTAACAGCTGGCCCGCCCCTTTTTCGGGCTTACAATAAAGCCTCCACTCGGTCTTAAACTCAGAATAAGAAATACGGATTAAATCAGAACTAACTAAAAGAGACTTAGCCAAAGCTAACACAAGTATCTGACGTACTTAGCCGGCGAATATCAAAAGGCACGTAATATACGGCCGAGCGCAACAGCTTCAAGAGAGACTTAGCCCGAAGGTAAACACGTGCTACTCGGGATTCCTAGCTGTCTCTCAACGAAGTAAATTGAACCTTCCTTAAATACTACTTCTTACTCATTTACATTCGACCCGATTCTAAAAACTCATTCTGGTAGGGAGCTGAACGTGGAAACATGAATTGATAGGAAGGTGACTTTAAAATTAAAATAATTGTTATAAAATTAAAATGTACCTTACAATGCAATGCAGTCTATAAAGTAACATCTTGGAGAAAATTTTGTTGATGCCTTATTGAAGAGTTAAAACTTATTACATATCGAAATTTTGCAGATCTTCCGCTGGGCGTGAAGATGCCGGACTCGCCAGACAGCCTAATCAAGAACCAGATTACTTCAAATCCTTCTAACGGTATACCAGGTAAGAAATCGGTTGCTGCCTTTATCTACAATCAACCGTTTCTTTGGAAACCATTTAAATTCAAATAGTAATTTGATAAAATATTTATCCTCATGGAGGAAAAAAAGTTACCTATTAAGTAACGTTTATAAAACGGGTTATTTATTACGAATGTTTTATCGAATGCTTTTAGAGGGGAAAAAAAGAATGAATATGCTATCTTATTAACACAGTTCCTTGACGAGGAATCATATATTACTCTGTGCTGATGAATTCTGAATTTATTTATCTTGTTCTTCTTTTTGGTAGGTGTAAACGGAACTCATTCCCCTCATCCTCCTGGAAGCACACCTTCTCCTCCTGTTACATCCCTACCTTCATCGAATACCGTCCCTCATCACTTAGAAATGGCGGCTGGCAATGGTACCTTGAGAGGCAAACACGTGCTCAAGGTAAAGAGATTCCTGGCCACCTTGCAACAGTTTGCTTCGGACATGTCCGCAGACATCGGTGAACGAGTCCACAGTCTCATCATTGGATTAGTGGTAAACACCATTTTATGTATATCGTGTATTTTATGTCCAAAATTCTATTGTTATAGCCTCCCAGACGCCCAGTAGTTAGGGAAGCCTGACTGCGATACCGAAGGACCCGGGTTCGAATCCCGGAGAAGGCATGAATGTAAAAATTGTCTGAGATTGAAAATATATATTTAAGATGCCTGACTTGTTTCGTGCTACGAACGTCTGATGTTCAATCATATTTTAGTTCCTTGATTACTTGAGAAGCAAAATTTTGTTAGTAGCGAAAATTTTTAATATTTTAAATAAATTAGCTCCATTACTGTAGACTTTATTCGTTCTTTTTTTTTTTTTTTTTTCCTTAAATGTGAATTTTCACATCTTATGTATCAAATTTTGGTACTTGCATATTATCGCAACATGCGCATGACAAATATTCAGTTTCCAACGTCGCCATTTTCGTGTGAGTTCTTTTCGCTGTATTGCAAGTTCCAAGGGCTTTGATAGAAAAATTATGATTATTTTTTGTCTTAAAAAGGATTCTGAAATTCGTGCTTGTAGGAGTTTTCCTATAATAGAAGAAACAGAGGTGAAATTTCTGTGAGAACACAGCATTTTCCCGTAAAATAGCTGAATAATGATTCTAAAAGCGATGACTGCGAAAATTTCTACCATAACAAAACTCCTTTTGCAGCTAGGTTTACTGTACTTGGAACGTAAAATATGTATGTAAATAATATATAATTTTTTACAATAAAAGTAACTGTTCTTTTTCTTGCGTAAAATTCGCCAAACTGCGCCAAGGTGCTTGCGATAATACGTAAATACCCATATTTTAATCTATTCATTTTATGTATTTATATGATAAACTCTTTTTTTTCCCCTCAAGAGTTCATCAGTCTCTATCGAAGATTTTCATCACAAGATACAAGAAATTACCAATTACCCGTTAAGACCATTTGCAATTCCTTTCCTAAAAGTAAGTAATACCCACTGTTTCATAAATAAAAACATTGAAAGATTATTGAACCCAAATATAATTTATTAACACATAAAATGTCAAAAACCGATTTTCATTTAGGTTTCGTATATTGCATTAATATGAATGGTTCTTGCGATTTAAAAAATTTACAGACATATCACACTAATCTGAAAAATAATTTTGGTGGAGAGAACACTTTTTGTAGAACTGTGGTTTTGATGCGGCATCGATGATGTAATATGTTCGTGAAAAAAAGGACGAAATATTTGTATGAGTTTTTATAAATTTGAAAAGAAAGAAATAAAGAAATACAGTGTATGTAAAAGGTAAAACTAATATTCAAAGTTAATAACATGATTCCGAACTTATTAATTTAAAAGTTTAAAAATGTCCTCAATTTTTTCCAAAGAATATTTCCTAACAGTGTCGAGCGGTTAATTGTTCCTAATCTGAAGATTTTCCCAAATCCTTTGAATACTGTTTGATCATGAATCTTTCAAGATGAAATATCCTTCATCGGGAAATCTAAAGTAAACTACCTGATTCTTCTTCAGGGATTTATTCAGTTAACTCTCTTTTCTGTGGATTTCGCTTAAAGAATGAACAGTTTGAATCTTACAGGGTAGAAATTTAAGTTCTTGGAATCGTTTGTGAACTGCCTTTTCAGAAGAGCCCAGAAATATTAATTTTTGGCCATCTTGTGGATAATTCTTGCCTTTTAGGTATTTCTTAACTCTCGTATGCGATGAGGTACTTGCATCGGTATGAACATCAAATGCTGTGTCTGCCCGTGGTTTCAAATGCAGGTGTGGTAATATTTAGAAACAACCTTAATCTTCATAAAGCGCAAGAAAGTTTGAAATTGTTCATCAAGTTTGATTAAAAATTCGCAGACTTAACGGCGTGTTCAAATAAAGAGAAAAAAAAGAGTGAAAAACAAATCGTCTGTTTCTGGTCGGCAAATAAATGCCAACCAAAAACAAATGTTTCAAATGGCAAATTTTTCCACCAAATCATCACTTCTATCATTTACTTAAAAAGGTTTAAAATCTAATATATTACTTTAATTTAGCTTTTATACTCACTTTTTATATTTCTGTTACTAATATGTATTTATAAAACCATAAAACAATGTAATAGGCAAACTTGTCTAACACGTGTATTGGCAGCTACCTGTTTCTCTGACTAAACGCATTGCTGATGTCAAAATGAGTCGTTGGTTTTGTTACCGATAAGTGTTTATAATGACATGTTGGTGTTCAACCATTTTGAACCATTCGCTAGTTCTCTACTTACAGTTAGTCACAAAAGTCTGCGTACAGACTACATTTTAAATTAAAAAAACACTTAAAGCATAGAAAAATGTATTTTAATCATTGCATTTTTTTTTTTCTATTAGTTAAAATTGTAAGCTTAAATAAAAAGTAAATAATATCAGTATAATACTTTTTACATTTTTCAAAAATATATTTTGTCAAAAAAACTCAGAAATTCCCTCCAATAAGTCTGCGCACACTTTCAAAAAAAAAAAAAAAAAAAAAAAAAGCAAAATATAAGTTTTTTACATTACTTCAATACTTTGTAGGATATCCTTTCTTCTTCAAAACAGCTTGCAGACGTCTGGGCATTGACTGAACTAGTTTTTCAGTGTCATCCGACGTAAATTTCGCCCATTCTTCCTACAATTTACTAATTAGCTTATTTCGCGACGTAATATTGTGTTTTCGAAATTCGTTTCTTCCAATTTTGCCCACAAATGTTCGATTGGATTGAGGTCTGGTGACTGTGGAGGAGTACGCAACTGTCTTGGAGTGTGATAGAGGAGATATTCCTCCACAATTTTAGCTGTATGTTTCGGGTCGTTGTCTTGTAGGAAAATAAAGGTATTAGAAAGGTTTAAATTTCGGGCACTGTCTCGTAGATTTTTCTTCAGAATATCCAGATAAACGTACTTATCCATGACTTTATCAATAATGTGAAAATTTCCAACTCCTTTCGACGACATACACCCCCATACCATCACACCGCCAACTCCATGTTTGACAGTTGGATTTAAATTTCTCAGATTCAGTTCTGTTCATGGTTTTCTCCATACAATAGGGTGGCCATTAACTTTAAATATTGTAAATTTACTTTCATCTGACCAAATTACATTGTTCCAGAAGTCCTGCCGAAGAGTTTAAATATGTTTTGGCAAAAGCAATTCTTTTCTTTCTATTTGTCTCGGAAATGTATGGCTTAGACCTAGGTTTGCGTCCATGATAATCGGACTTTCGCAGCACTTTTCGTACAGTTTCAGGAGAAATTTCCTTGTTGCTAGTTAAAAAAAAATGTTTTTTGCAATGCTTGCGGCAGAAAGTTTAGGATTTTGTTTAATTCGTAAAAGAATTTTTCTTTCTTCTCTCTCCGTTAGCTTCTTCGGTCTTCCACATCTTGGTTTTACAGCAAGACTACCAGTGTCAAGATAGTTTTGAATAACTCTTTGCACACTAGAAAATGGTTTTCCAATGGTTTTACCAATATAACGAAGAGTTTTACCTTCATCTCTCAATTTGATAATTAGCTGTCTCGTAACTAAAGGAATTTCTTTATTGGTTGTCATTTTCGTCAAAGAAAATAGAAATAGCAACTTCCAATCAACGTGAAATTTGCTTCGGAAGTCAATGACCTTGAAAGTGTAACCTTCTTTGCATTCTCAAGTTTGAAGTTTAATAGTTAGATAAGAAATTCCCCGCCTCCTTTGCGTTGTACGCAAACTTTATTGGCTTTGATTTCTGGCCACTTATCTTTTAAAAATTAGTGTGGGATAAATTATTAAATACGAAAATATTACAGTTAAATAATTTCAAAGTCCCTTATTGAAACTAAATATTTAAAAAATAAAACTTTAAGAAACTACCCTTTTCGAACCTTAAAATTTGGATTTGATATTACTTTTCTTGATGTACGCAGACTTTATTAACTAACTGTATGTAACCCACGAAGCATTTGCTTCTTGACATGGAATCTTTGTAGCAAATCACGAAATAACTAACACATTTCGTGTGTGATAAAAGATTGTGCAGTTTTCTGAAACTGTTCACCAAGTTTGAATACAGAAAGAAAACTGAAAACAGTAGATTTCTTATATCGTATTTTAGCTATCCATGGAGAATTACCCAATTTTGAATTAAACGTACTGATTCGAAAGAAGAGATTATTTTCGTATTATTTTGTTAAGAATTCATTAATGCTAAAAGTGTATGGCACTGCTTATGTTTGCTCAATAATACCGTCTTATCTGTTATGTGTCGATTTGGTTTTGATAGAGATGTGGATTATTTTCGCTGATAGTTGCCGAAATGAAAGCTTAAGAGATGAGAGATAATAATTTACGGCACTTAAGCATTATCGCAACCACCTTATTTCAAAAGTCGCCAAGGTGTGACAGTTCTTTAGACAAATAATTTAGTCGCAGTCCCATTGTACTACTGTAAGATCCAATCCGAAAATTCACTGAATCACTTTTTTCTTCTGTAAAAAATCGCCAAACTACGCCAGGATCGTTGCTTTTTTTTTTTTTTTTTTTAAGTAACAACTTTACTTCTATTATTACGCCACCACCACTGCAATCACACTTTTGTAATGATGAAGAAAATCTTGGTGTTTTTATCCTCTACCAGTATCTTTCCGTAATGCTCTTACAATTTCTTAAATTATTTCTTAAACTGGCATAAGTACTTTTACTTTATGTGTTTCACTAGCACATCTTTCTGGTTAGCCGTTAGTACAATCATGTGCAAAGCTATGCAATTTTAAATTATACTGTAAATATTGAGGCCCTTGGATGGAAAAAGCCTCCTTACCCACACAGAGGTGCTATTTCCATGTTACATTAAGTACTCTGATTATTACTTATCAACTAGATGGACAAAATAAAGAATAAACAATGCTGAACTGACTAAGATGATGTCCCTCAAGGTAGAAGAAGACTTCGCCAGTTTTAGTCGCAAGTCAAAGAACGTAGCAAGAGCTCTGTTTTCTTTCTAAATCTTTTCTTGACTGCATATATTTTTACAAAAGAAATCTCTCTTTCTTGAGTATATGCGGAGAAGGAAGGAATCCAGATCATTATATCTTCAAATATCTGTTGACATCACACAAAGGTTCCAACGACATTTGGCTTTCAGTTATCGCATGTTTCGAGAAAAACAGAGCGGATGAAATGCAAAATAATTCAAACAAAGACTGCTCTTCTGTCCTATGCTACTTAGCTATGTTATTCACAGTCATTAATCAAACAGCTTCTCATTCTACCGAATTCTCCCTTATGGTTGGTTATGAGTTGCTCCAAAGCAAAATCTACTTATGATCCCCCATGTTACGACACTTTGTAGCCAGTACATATTTTCGCGGCGTCATTAAGCAGTTCAGAAGCTTTACATCAATGGTGATAGCATGAATCGAAAAGAGTGCAAACACAATAATGTAATATTTAGTATCATAGTAGTAGCTTAGTAAGCAAAATGAACGATAAACGTAATAAAAGCAAAAGTTGCTGCGAAGGGAACTTATGAGGCGTAACAAATGAAGAGCATATGCCACCTACAATTAAAATTCGGTTTTTAAAAGGCAGTGTATTATTTTAGGACATAAGTATGACAATACAATGCAATAATAAAAATTGCAGTGGAAGTGTAATCTATCAGTTAGTATTTCGTACCATAGAAGTAGTACGTAGCGATGATACTTGCTTACTATGTGCGCGTATTAGAGGTATCTGCATGCTTCTATCTATCTAGCTTTGAAGCATCCATTTGGAACAGTTAAGCAGTTCGGGGTAATTTCTATTCATCAGTGAGACCTTATAGTTTTTTACTTCAACTAAATGATGTGACTGGCCACGTCCATTATAGCCTTCCTTTAAAATCCTTTTCCTTTTAAAGCAAAACGATCTATCTCATATCTTATCATGTTTAAGGAAACAAACATCATTTTGTGCTGGAAAGAAAGGAAGTTCAGGTCCGTGCACTTAATTTTAGCATTGACAAAAGTGTCGCTTTTCTCTTGAAATTCTCACATTTTGTCTATGTACGAATTTTTTCTACCATTTACATAAATGTAAAAAAAGTAAATGTTTGCTTTTAAAAAGTTTCTGCCGTTTTCATGCTTGTAAATGTTTGTAAAATCAAGCAAGCTTTAAAAATAGGTAATGTCGACTTTTTGTGATTTGCAGTCCCATCTTCCACTTTTGCAAACGGAACTGATCCACTTCTCAAGAATGGCCAAGCAGAGTCCTCAACAGTACCTGAGGCAGCACGAACATGTCATCCTCGACACTTCATCGCATCCAGGATCAGAACCTTTTGAAATTTTCCAAGAACTCAAAGAGAATGGGAAAAGGAGATCTCCCTCGAGCAGGTATTACGGTATTTTGGGGACGATTCTTAACGTAGCTGTCTTAAAGATAATTGAAGCTCTCTTCTGCTTTAAAAATATGTTTGATCATATATTAACTGATATGACAAAAAAGTAATGCCTCCCAATCTAGATAGTGGTTAGCGACGCTGATTGCTGTACTGAAGGTCCCGGGTTCGAATCCCGAAGAAGGCATGGATGTTTGTAAAAATATAGTGTCTATGCGGCATGGAGGCACTCTAACTATGAAGCAATTCAATAGCCTTCTCGAGAGGTTGATGGTAGGGGAATAGGGCTGAGAGACCCTCGGACCCTTTGCCCCCTTGTGCTCTCTTTCAAAGCGGGGGAGGGCGGAACTGAACTAAAGTCGTGCTGTCACCTATATGGTGGTCAAGTCTGTTGCCAACAACAGGCGCATTTGACTCTTTGCCACGATGAACGTCGTGAGTTTATGCAGACCTTTGTCAGACAAAGTGAGATTGGTAACAACAACAGAAAAGCTTTTGCTGCATGGATACTTGTATTTACTATTATCGATACAGTAACATTATGTGCAGTAAATCTGTATTTTTATTATTACAGGAATCTGTTTTTAGATTAATTTATAATTTTCAATATAAAATGTATCGCTTATTATGGAATTAACGTATACTGCGCAAAACAAAAGGGGAACAGTTCTATATTTCTCGTTCTACTGGGCCGATGGACGAAATTCAACTTGCATTTTTCATGTCTCGAAAGCGCGATTTAGGATATGTATTAGATTTATATATAGCATTGTTCTAATATAGGTATTTGGATACAAAATCGGACTTTTTCTGAAATGGCATGGCAAGTTTTTTCCATATTCCGATTCTACGACTCAAATGATGCCAAACTGCCGCGTTTTGTAAAAATCGGGCGAGTAGTTTTTAAAACATTAGCTCTCAAAATTTTAGCCCCTTAGTGTTACTTGAATTTGATATATATTTATTAACATGTCTTTTTTTTCTTAAATTTACTTGATTCCTTCTTAGCGAATTCGAAATTTAGGCTTAATCAGAATATAATTCGCCCATTTTTTTATGATATATATATTTATGATATATATAACTTATATATTTTTTTTAATTTTTAAGCAAATTTTCGTACTTTCACCTATAAAATTTTTAATATCATCTTAAAGTAGATGTATTTCTAGACACACTGGCAAAAAATTAGAGTTTTTTTATTCAAAATTTCCTAAAATATACGTGAATTTACATTTTGGCACGTTTTGAAATTTGGCGTATTTCACATAAGCGATAATAACGAAAATGTGGTTTACGCGCTTTGTTAAAATTATTTGAAAGAACGAACGATGAATCTTTTTTTTTTCTCTCTCGTGCATCAATGAAAAAAAAAGGAAAGTAAGTAGTTTACTGTAAATTGAGAATTCCGCCAAGTCAATTATTCTTACCGCAAACTGAAAAAAATGCGGCAAGATAAATTTTTGAGTTTCTCCTTAAGTTTCACGCCAAATTTTATAAAATTTAATATTGAGGCATACTTTGAGTCGTAGAATCGAAATATGGGAAAAAATTGGCGGCATGTCGTTTCAGAAAAAGTTCGATTTTGTGTCGAAATATATATATTAGAACAATGCTATATATAAATCTAATATATATTATAAGTCACGCTTTCGACACATGCAAAACGCAATTTGAATTTCATCAATCGGCCCAGTAGAACGGGAGATACAGAACTGTCTCTCTTTTTTTTTTTTTTTTTTTTCATCTCCTCCTGCAGTGTGCTCTTTTCTCTTCTAGTGATGTAGTTGCAACTAAACAAAACTGACTTCCGATAAAATTGTGCTTTTTCTAAAAACTTCGATCAATCACCTGAAGAATACACTCGTCGTACGGTAATGTAAGGCAAGTACAGTTGTGGCCTCGGATTCATGGTTTTACTTATTCGCAGTTCAGAGCGACAGAAAAGAAAATGGTGTTTAAATTAAATGTAGTTTCGAAATGGAAGCGAAGTTGCAACATTTCATAAATAACGGAAATTTAGCAACTGAGGCATATAAAGTAGTTTTCTCCCTCATCTTCACTCTAATTTCAGGCCGATTCAATAAGAGAAATCGATATTTTAGAATTTTGCTTTTCAAAATTCCAGAATCAAAATTTGAAGCATTGTATTTTCAGATGACGAATGAAAGGTAATGTCTTAAAAATATTTGTAACAATTTAAATTTGCTTTAATTTTAATTTTCGGGAAGACACGGGCATCTCAGAGTGATTTATTTACTGTAACATTGTGTATAATTTAATTACCATAATAAATTATAGCATTTTTAAATATGATTTTATAGGTATTGTTTCTCATCGTTTTGTGATAAACAAGCAATCTTAAACAGAAACATCTGTAACTTACAGTGGAAATGATATATTCATCTTCATTTGCTAGAAATTATGCAATATTTTACCTTAACTTATTACTAATAATTTCGAGCTGAAAATACTCGTTTGAATTTTGCACCTTTATTCGACCGAGAAAAAAATTAAAATTTTATTAGTGAGTTGACGATTGCAGGCTTCACTACAATATTTTTTTTAACTGATTACCGAGAAAGTTATTTTAAGTAACAAGAGAGTGTTACGGAAAGCATATCAAATTTGTTCAATTGTAGGATACCTGCTTTCTCTTAGAAAAATAAAATGTGATTCCCATTTCGTCCATTAGTAGAATACCACTATCATTTGAATAATTTTCCGAGAGACTGCTATTCGTAAAGATTCTGGTTGATTTATTGGCGCAAAAAGATTTATCTCCTCTTCTTCGTTTTCAAAGCTCAACTGATGATAATTCACAAAGCATTTTAAGAATTTTCAGTGAATAAGCCATCAAAAATAAGCCTGTTTGGAAGCAACGTGTTGCAACCTCATTTGACTACTAAATTAACATCAAAAATATACTTTTACGTACAGGGTGTTTCGCGAAGGACTCCTAACTTTGAAAATAAAAAACTCGGAAAGGATGATAGATAGAAGCATGAAACGAGTTATATGTTTATTAAAAAAAACATAAGAATAAGATACAGAAACCTAAAAAAAAATTGGTTACAAATTGTGCTGTGGAAATCTAATGGAAATTCTCATTGTATTCACATTAAAAGTGATTCCAAATGTGGACCTTTCGCACAACACACAGGTCGCAAACGAAGAATGAAATGTCACCGGAAACTGACACACAAATTTGACTAATAACCTCCTCCAGCTTATCGAGTGTTAAGGATTGTTACGGTAAACAATGTCCTTCAACGTGTCCCACAGAAAGTAGTCGCAGAGGGTGAGGACTGGTGAATAAGGAGGCCAGTCGATTTCTTTCTCCTTGACTGTCGAGTAGTTCAATGCAATAACTCTATCATCGAAGTAGTCGTCCAGAAAGTCAAAAATATGTTGCGTACGGTGTGGGCAAGCCCCATTTAGCATGAATAATGCCGTGTCCGGTTGATCATCCAGTGCTTGTCGAGTGGCGACAAATTGTTTCAAAAGTATAGATCGCAATATATCGGTCAGTCGTCACCGTTTCTCACAAGAAAAAGGATCCAATGATGCCTTTGCAGGAGAGTACAGCCCAAACGGTAAGTTTGGAGCAATGGAGTGGTCGTGCATGATACAAATGTGGGTTTTCGGTACCCCAAAATCGCAAGTTATATCTGCTAACAACACCATCCAGATGAAAATGGTCCTCGTCTGTAAACCACATTCGGCCGTCATCGAAACCAGAAACATCAATCACTGTCGAGCATCTTGTTAGCAAAATCCTCTCTTTGTCATTCAGCTTGAACTGGTACAGCGTGCCGGCATAGAATCTTGTACGGAAACATATATAATGTCTTCCGCAGGATTCTGTAAGTGCTGGAGGGCCTGATTCCGAATTCAGTTGGAAGTGTGTGGACAAATTTATTCGGGTGACGCTCAGTAACTGCAGCAAATCTCGCTGCATTTTCAGGTGTTTTTGTATCAAATTCTTATAGTTTTTTTTTAACAAATATACCAATTGCTTCATGTTTCCGTGTTATTTAATTTCAAAGTTAATGTTTCTTCTTGAAACACCTTGCAGGTTCTCAAATAGCAGTTCTTACCGTCAACAGGATTTCACTAGCTGCAGTCTGTTCTTGAACAGCATTATCAATCTCCTGATTGACTGTCACAAAATTTCTGACATTGTCTTTCAGTGAATTCTTTCACGTAGCAGCATTTTAGGCAACGGTTTGGTTTATTTAATTATGGCGAATCACTCGAGGGCTATTTGCCTAATGGGAGAGATGCCTTCCTGGAGGACCTTCTAAGAAGAACAGTCTTGCATACAATTTCTATTTTTTAAGACAGCAAAAAAGCCGACACTTTGTCCAACCTCAAGACAAAAGGGTTTGCCTGCCCCTGATTTTGCCAAAAAGAAATACAAGGAATGCCTTTTAGTTCCGAGATCCAATATTCTAATAGCACCAATTAGTTCTTCTCGCTACCGGTACTCGGATAAATCGCCATGTTAACTTTTAATTCTCAACTCGCGATGGAAAGCTTAAACCATCTTGTTAATAATTTTCTGTAGACGTTTGAAAGAGATAGCTATCAAATGTAAAAGTAAACCAGTTACCCCATGTCATATTTTGCATTGTATTATCATAAATATATAAAGTATCTCGTCTAATCTTACCAAAACAAAATCTTCACACGAGTATCATAATTTGTTATAGATATCGGAATTATGTCGTAGAATAAATACCATTATCACAAACTGTAATCCATAGTTTTCTATAATATGTTTCATTTATTCATATGTTGTACAGCTTTGTTTACTATCTTAAAATACTGGCATAATAATCTTAATGTAGTGGTTTGATTTTACAGGAATGGCAAAATAGATCTTGACTACACAGAAACCAATGGTGACGGCCCACCACCATCGAAACGTCACCATCCAATACCAAGTCCGACACTGAACTCTCGGACGAGTCCAGTTGCTCCAACAGGGCTGGGTCTGCCCCCGAGCTTGAACATCAGACTCCCTGAAGACACCCTTCCTTGTTACAGAGACAGAGATGTGCGCGTGGACAGATACGAGAGATTCGAGCGTGAGTTCTACAGGCCATTTTACGGTTAGTTCTGGCGATCTTATCGTTCCCTATTTTGTGTTGGATGAGTATAGTTCGATTGTTTAAAAGCGTCCTAAATAAGCCAAATATTATCAGAATAAGGCTTAGAAAACTAAGCGGCGTTCAGGTAGATGTTCTTTTATTTAATTGATCATTTGATGTCTAATATAGTACATCAGATTCTGGCTAATAGTTTTAATAAAATAGATGCCAGTTTTAAGAAAAGTAACATAGTTTCAGAGTGAAAGTTCCCCGAATTGAAAGATTTACTGATTTAGTTTCGAATAACATTAAGTTAAGCTCCCAGAATCCTGATGAACGAGGCGAAATTCGTAAATTTTGCGGGACTGCCGATACACCTTGCTCATACACAAAAATAGCGTAAGCTTTAAGATTGCCATCAATAAATATGAGTTAGGCATGATCATCAAATTCTGTAAGCAAATTATTAAAATCATTCAAGTCTAGAAAACCGTTTCTTAAATATTTCTTCCTTATACACCTCGTCAATAAGCAAATATTTTAATGAATACTACTCAATAAACGAAATGCTCTCTTTAGAACACAATACAATTATTCTGTTTTTAACCAATTTCCTGCTTAAAATATATTTTAAAACTGTTTACTTGTAATAGTTGTTGAGTGTTTTGCAGCTTGTTTTCGTAATACCGTCTCTAAAACACTGCATTTAAAGAATTCGGTTACAACTGCAAAATTCTGTAATTTATATCATTAAAACAATGAATAATTAGATACATTTTTTTCGGTTTTAACATTAAAAAATTGACAGTATATTCTCTCTTTTAATTTTTTTTAAATGCGTAGGATTATTAGCGGAAGTGTTAGGATATTATAGAACAAATAAAAGATTTTACACACTGTAAGATTCTCACTAGTGTTTTTATCAGTTACAGTAGAAAGTGACGAATCTTAAGAACTAGTTAGCGAATAATCGCTTAAGTTCGTGTAACAAGAAACAAGAAGATGGAAGGGTAACTAACCCTTTATTATTCCAATAAGATTTAACAAAACTCCGTCTTGGAGTGTACAATAAAATCCTGTTAAAGAAATATAATCCTGCGTTAAAAAATAATTTTGACCACCATCAGTGTTTATTTATATGTAAATGTTTGGCAGATTGATTTCTGAAAATGTTTTACAATATTGCAGAAGAATCTTAATTCTGTAACAGTGCATTTGATGCAAAACGTTAAATAAATCTTTCTTGTATGGTAACGTGAATTTCTTACGTATTATGTTAAATAACTTGGATTTTTACATCTGTAATGTGGATTGTTAGAATATTTTATATCTAATGCAGGTAATTTACCCAGGGATTACCCGGAAGACAGAGAAATGGACGAAGAATGGAGGAATATTCACACGGTATGTGAGTATGTGTAAAAGTTACCGCATTTTGAATTCGAAGAAAGGTTTAATAGCTGCCGTATATAAAATGCACTTTGTGCCGTATATGCCGTATATAAAATGCAGTTAGCTGGACTTAGAGACATTTAAGTTATTTTAAAGCAGGAGACATGAAAAAGGAGCACTGCCGTCGCTAAGACCCGAACCCTGGACCTCTCGAATATGCGCCGAGTGTTCTACCGTTACACCATGCTGGCATACAGAAAGGTATCCGCCGAAAACGTCGTGGAGAAAACAACGCAAGTAGAAAACGTCGTGGTACAATACATCGTGGGAAAAAACATTGCAAAGAGAAAACATCGCAGTTCTAAAACATCGTGGTACAAAATATCGTGGTCGAAAATAAAGCAGTTCAAAAACTTCGCAGTTTAAAAACATCTTCGTCGAAAATATCGTGGTAAAAAATAAAGTACCTACAAATCATTGCATGACGATAACATCGCACACATGCGTCTTCAGGTTTCGAAAGTTTTAAATGCATGTTCCTATAAAGATCATAGAGCGCAAGAAGAAAAGAGGCATTCTTTTACTTCTATATTTCATATAGTTGAAAGAATAATAAATTTTTGCTTGCTGAAAATATAAGAAGGAAACTTAAGCATTTAAAAATTGAAAATGAGCAGAAAATTAATGCAACTTAATAGCTTAATAGAATTTTAAATTTATATAGTTAATTAACAAAGGTCATTAATAAATTAAGCTTTCTTTATAAAGTTTAACTGATAATTTTTCATGAAAAATACAGTCTTTAGACTGTATTTTGCTTAGAAAAGAATGCTTAGAAAAAGGAAGATAAATAATTGCATGAGGTTACCTTTATAAAATTTGCTTAGCTAATGATCAAATTATTTTCTTTCACATTTGTTAATCTGATAGTGTTTTAATGAATATTACATCCTGTTTTGTTTCCGTTTATTCTTAAAGTGTCGTTAACATTTTCATGTATAGCATGCAATCAATTTTTTGGATGTCGATTTCTTAGTTATGACGAAGGTCGGTTTCATAATATGTCACTATGTGATTTGAAAAACGCATGTATGCGATGTTATGGTCATGCGATGACTTGTAGGTACTTTATTTTTTACCACGATATTTTCGACGACAACGATGTTTTTAAACTGCTTTATTTTCGACCACGATATTTTGTACCACAATATTTTAGAACTGCGATGTTTTCTCTTCTGATGTTTTGTACCACGACGTTTTCTTCTTGTGTTGTTTTCTCGCCGCTGTTTTCGTCCGCGATGTTTTCGGCTGTAATCTACAGAAAGGAGGGAGAAAATGCCTTAGATTGTGAAATTGTGGATTTTATATTTTGTATCACTCCATTTCATGCAGATGTTTTCTACAAATTCGTTCACTATTTCGCCAAATTAAGATAACTCAGACTGGCAGCTTGGTAAGTCCCTTTGAAGCGGATAAGTTTATTATTTGAAAGAAACAAGAACACTAACAGATAACGAGTTCATTTCTGTTAACGGTGTACACAATTATTATTATTTGTATAAGCTTAGTGACATTTTAATCACATTACACATTTTCATATATAGATATTAAAATCTAAATTATTAAAAACTTAATTTTATTATCCGTAATAGCCAATTTTTATTTCTCAATTTCTATTACAATTTTCTTCAGCTGCAGAAATTGGCATTAACAGTTTAGAACATTAACAATTTCAAGAAGTCTTAATACTCGTATGCATATTAATAAATATGTAATAAAAACCTGACCTTCTTCTATATCCATTACATGTTTTAATAGTTTTATTTTAAAGAAGAATTTTGATTGCTTAGAATGTTCATCCATGATGAATAGGAAACTGGAAAGCCAAGGCAGAATAAATGTTCATCTTTATTTCAGTAAACATGTTGCAGCCACAAACAAGTTGGTGCACTACTCGTGTCTGTTACAAAATGTTTACATTTTTAAAAGATTTGCAATAAGAAGAGAGCAGCAGTCCAACTAGGCCGAAGTGTTGAAAGCAATTGCAGCTGTGTTCAAGATGATATCTTAGTTCAGAAAGAGTTAATTTTGGTTCTCTATGCATTTGATTGGATAATTAATACTGCTGTAAAATTATTATTAACTGTTTGAGTTAGCAAGTGTTTATATATAATATATCCCACCGTATCGAAATGATTGTCCTATTTTCATAAATTATTTGCGTCAGAATGATTATTCCTTTTTAAAAAATTTGGTGTGTACACCACATGAGTTCCTTGTACGGAATATTAAATTATACGCATTTTTTCATGCATTTCGTTTAAACTTATTGGATTGAATTAAATCTACTTCGCCGACACCGCATAAACCACAATAGAATAAATGCATTCTTTAAAATTCTCTCTAGTATTTGTTTACCATAGCGACCTCTGGCGCTAGATTCGCTTAACAGTATTATATTTCGTTCATATTCTAACTCATAATGCATAAAATTTATATCATTTAAAGAATAGAATTATGTAATCGTTGCCACATGTTCTGTTCAAATACTATAATAAAGCTAGAACGATGTATAAAATAAATTAAGCAAATAAAAAAATTTAAAAAAAAAACAGTTTTTCACAGATGATTGAGTATTTCTCATTCAATAAATTCAGTTCTCACTTCGCGAGAAGGCAAAAATACAAAAAACTCAAAATATCTGTATTAAAAATTATGAAGTAAATCTTAAATACTTATTTCCTCGAAAAAATTCCAGAAAGGATTCAGCATGATTTAATTGGCAATAATAAATGAAGGCGTTATCTTTGTTGTTGCCAAGCTAAGTTTCTCTAGATTGGCAACAAATCCACTAGTTTGCTGTTTCAAATGTAAAAAACCAATGGCCGCCATGAAAATAAAGGCTTAGCGGCACTTAAATAACTTTAAAATTGTTGATAATTCTAAAAATATTGCATACAGATTTACTAAAGGTATAAAAACCTTAACCGGAAGATAAAAACAACATAATTCAATCATTTTTAAAGCAAAAAATGTACAATTTACAAACATATAAGAGTAAAGAAACTGAGATCACTGTGCCGAGTAACAGAGTGGATATATATATAAATATAGTATTTATATACGTTCGGTGCGGCCGATTGCAACCAAAATACGAGGTGCACATCTACATGTTATAGCAGTCCTATATACAAAATTTCAATGTTCTGAGGCTACTCGTTTTTGAGTTATGCGAGATACGTACGTACGTACATATGTTCGTACAGACGCCCCGAAAAATTCTCTTTAGAATTTATTTTAAAGCAGTTTTATGATTTTTTTTTTTGGAGGAAACGAGTCTTTTATTCTGTTCTTACGTACAGATATCACGCAAAAACATCGTTAAATTGCATTCGATAGCGGTCAAAATGGATATTTTCGTTGAAATATGCTGCCTGAAACTGTTTCCAATGGCAGATTATGAACAGTTACAGCAAAAAACAAGAACATAGAACACAGCAACACAATGGGAAAAAAAAAAATCTAACATATCTCTTGCCTCCCAGTAACGCTGGGCGAGAAAACTCTTGTGCAGACAGTGGCAGGACAGTGGGGTAGATGTGCGGCATTCATCAACTCTCCAGAGTTGCACAGAGTGCATATCGGAGAAGGAACAATTTTGAATCTATGAAGATGATATTGTAGGCAATCATGTCCGGTGGCAATTCAGTGACTCGCTCTACTACGCCTTGGGCCATTACACAAATTCGGGATAGCATTCTTCCGAGACTTAATGAGAAACACGATGGTAGAGATCTTCCTGAGCACGTACTTTGGAAAATCTCTTAATAAGATCCCTAACAGTATGGAAGGGCAGAGGACGAGAAATATTCTGCATCATTAAAGAAGCACCTTTTTTTTTTTTTTTTTTTTTTTTTTTTTGCCAGGAAGTCGGCTTTCTCGTTACCTGGAACCCCACAGTGGGCTGGAACCCACTGGAGAACTAGAGTTTTCTCAAGTGAAGACAGATTTTTTTTAGGTAATGTCAACCATCCAATATGTCCTGTGATATGGGATTTTTATCTGAAACGATAGCCAACAGAGCAGCTCGGGAAGTATAACAGCTCTTGTGAATTTTTCCAAGTGGCATGGTAGCTGATACAGACCTGTTGGAATCGCAGCAATTTCACCGTTCATGGATTAAATTATTCATTGGTTCATGGACTTCAGTGATGGATTCTCTGACACGATTAATGAAATCCGGAGCTTGTTTTGAGGTCGAAGCACAGCCTTTTTCATGTGTGGTAAATTACAGATATTTCTCCCACCAGACTCCATAATGCATTCCATGACCTCCTGCAGGTCAAAAAACCATCGCTTAACGTTTCGATATTTAATGCATTGCATGAAATATAAAGCAGCTTGGATAATGCGTCGATGCTGGTAGGTGCTAATTGATGTTGTAATGCTTTTACGGCATTAAATAATTTTAAATAGCAAAGTCAGGGCTGATGGGAGGATGACAACGTTAGTTGGATGTTACATCCATATTCCTATTTCTCATTGCAACGTTCGGCCTTTTTTTGAGACCTTAAAACTTGTTTCGGTCGAAGCATCATGTTTCCTACCGATAGCCGTTATAATGACATGCCTAGGTCATCTTTAAAGTTCTCAGTAGCTCCGGTATAATCGTATTTCTCTCATCAGACCTTCAATTGCGTTTCTTCTCCATAACTCTAACGTATATTTTAATTTTATAACAGGTATTTTAATTTCAATGTACTTTCCTATCGATGCTTGTTTCCTCTTCCTACCAGAATGAGTTTTTAGAATAGCTTTGAATGCAAATGAGTTAGAAGTAGTATTTAAGGAAGGTTCAACTTAATTCGTGAGAGAGAGAGAGGTAGGAATTCTGAGTAGCACGCGTTTGCCTTCTCTTGAAGCTGTTACGCTCGGCCATATATTACTTGCCTGTTGATACTCGCCGGCTAGTTTAAATTCGGAGCCAACTGCGTCAGATACTTGTGTTAGCATCGGTTAAGTTTCTTTCAGTTATTTCTAATTTAGTTCTTATTTCTTATTTTGATTTCATGCCTGAGTGGAGGTGTTGTTGTAAGCCTGAGAAAGGGGCCAACTGTTCATCTTACTTTGAGTGAAATAAGAAGGGTAGTTAACGCTTCTTGAGTCTGCGACTTTTGTTATTTGAACTCAGCGATAAGTCGCTAACAAGTTCACTAGGTTCCTCAACATTTACTTTGGACAAAAAGAGTGAGGAACTCTACATCTCAATTGAAAAAGAATGAAAATAAATTTATATAAAATATCAAAATTCTATTTTATAAAAGTAGAAGGTAGCAAATTCAAAACCACATTTCCCGCCTTCGTTTCCTTAAACCGATACAAATTTATACATCGGACAATCATTTCGATATAAAGGGAGTATCATTTAAATAAATAGAGATCTCGTATGTCTTTTATTCTAATTAATTCGGTTGTGTTGAGGTAAGCAGATCTGAGACCACTGATCTTACTGTTTCTATGGCATTATCATCTGCATCTAACACAGATCCACTTAAATGAAAAAATCTGATGTGTACACCACAAGACTTCCTTGTACGGAATATTAAATTATGTGCAATTTTTCCTGCATTTCAGACTTCCTCGAATTTCATTACAGGTATATTTCTCGTGGAATTAATTCAGTTCTCACTTCGCGGCAGGGAAAAAATACTTAAAATCTCATTAAAAAATTACGCTTAGCCGCACTTAAACATCTTTTAAATTGTTGATAATTCTGCAACTATTGCATGCAGATTAACTAAAGGCATAAAAACCTTAATCCGAAGATACGAACCAACATTATTCAATCATTTTTAAAGCAAAAAATGCACAGTTTCCCAATATATAAGAATAATAAAAAAACTGAGCTCACGGAGCCGAGTAATAGAGTGACTCGTGTATATATATATGTATTATATATATACGAGTTTTGTACACTTTTGGTGCGGCCTATTGCATCTAAAAAGGGAGGTGCACAACTACATGTTATAGCAGTCCTATATACAAAATTTCAACGTCCTGGGGCTACTCGTTTTTGAGTTATGCCAGATACATACATACAGACGTCACGAAAAAAATCTCTTTTGAATTCATTTTAAATCAATTTTATAATTCGTTTGGGGCAAAAGAGTTCTTTATTCTGTCCTTACGTGTAGATATTACGCAAAATCATCGTTAAATTGCATTCGATAGCGGTTAAAATGGATATTTTCGTTGAAATATGGTACCCGTTAGTTAATGAAATTTAATACGTTGGTGAAATATAAATTCATTAAATTATTAACTGTAATTGATTAAAGTTAACAAAACTCTCATTAACTTGCTATTTAATTGTTAAAATTTGCATTAACGAGATACTTTTGGCTCGAATTTCTAATTTTATTTTACAGATGCTGAATTGTATCTTGGGGATGGTGGAAAAGACAAAACGAGCCCTTTGTATCCTTCAGCATCGGAGTTATTCGGAGAGAGCCGAACTAAGTGGTTGGATTCGGCATCCAGAGGTGGAACCCAAGAAGTCTCGTCCTTCAGACATTGTATCCCACTTTAAAATAGCCGAGGACCGAGTATCGGAAGTGCGGCGGAGAGCAGGTAGGGGTCTTTGGGTTATGCTTCTTCGTTAATATACTATAGTACACTGCGGATTATCAGAACTCATTTAAATTTCCTTGAATACATACCGAGAAGATTCTAGAAAATCCTAAAACTTTAATGGTGCAATTATGATGTGAATTCTTTAAAATGTTCCTTTCTTTCTCTTTTGTATCGATAATTTAATAGTTGGATATACAGTGCTTCTGCTAATTGCAGCTTTTGCTCATTTTCTCGTTTTTAGACATTTCTTTTGTAACAATTTTTAGGGTTTTGATAAAAGTAAAGACAATAAATTCTGTATTGTTTCGAAATAAGCTATCTAAACCTCTATAAAATTGCTTTCAGTTTAAGATAAGTTAAAAAATTATTTGAACATAACTTGAACATTTCTGGTTAAGAAATATACATTGCTGCAGAAAACAAGGCTGCATATCTAGAAAAATGAGGTCATTTGCGAAATCTAGTACATATGTATGTTTGAAGAGCCATAGCAATCATTAGAAATTTATAGCAAACAAATTTTGTTGAAAATAACGGCAATAAAAAGATTGCTTTACAGTGAGTGGCAAATTGATCGCTGGTTGCCAAACAAACCAATATTCGACGCGGCATGGTATAAATTATCTTATTTATGTGTTTTAGCAAAAGTTTCACACATTTTGCAAGATCTTCGAAATTCAGCAATCGAAACCTTCGAAAACAATCTAAAGAGATTCTACTGGTGATAGAAACGTAGATAGCCACAGAGAGAGATATGAAATCCTCGAAGATGTGAAAAAGTTGTATAATGTGTGAACAGTTGAACACTTGCTGGTATACGACATTTGGGTACTACAGGAAACTATTAGCTCTGTACTATTTCCTGTGAATTATATTCGTAAGGCAGACAGGAAGATAAAATCATGTCTTGAAGTTAGTTAACATTACAGATTGCTCAAAAAAAGTTGTTTTCATGACACAGATAATCTTTCCTTTTAATATGCTAAGTAACTGGGCTAACAATTAATACAGAAAGAAAGTCATTGTATCAATTGCTTGATGTGTCGCAATGTTTGATTGTGCAACGGTGATGGTTGAGATTTGTGTTTGATTGCAAACAGCGATGGTGGTTGAGATAGCTGACGGTTTTTCCTTCATGTATTTCCCTTTCATAAATGTGCTTATTATTTAAATAAAATGCATTTGCCATCCATATTATACCATAAACAATCCTAATCCTAAGCATTTTATCACATTAACAGAACTAAATGAGTGAATTAGATGTGTGAACTGTGTAATGTAAATCACAACGAAATCCTGGAATTGGTGTTCATATCGTGGTGTCTTTTTGTCGCCCTAGAAGAAGCTGTTAATGAGGTGAAGCGGCAAGCAGTGGCTGAATTACAGAAAGCGGTTTCGGCGGCTGAATGTAAAGCCAGCGAACTGGTAGCTGCAGAAAGGATCAAAATGGAAAGGCTGCTGGCAGAGGCGAGGCGGCAGGCTGCAGAAGACGCACTTGCAGTTGCAACACATCAGGAGGAATCCACAGAGGTAAACCGAAAATGCTGTACAATTCTCGCCAGCAAAATTAATTGCACAATATTTGTTTAGTGAATTCAGTTTCATTCTTAAGATAATCCTGGGGTTTCCGATGGAAAGCTTGCGAATTTCCTAACTGCACATCGTTATCGCAACTGTAGGAGCGGCTTCCTAAATTAGACCAGTGGGTTTTAAATAAGTTGTCTTTAAAATTCTCTTGTTTTGTTAGAATTTTGCCATGGATTTTTAATTAACGAGGAAATTTCATTGTTTAATTGTATTTGAAAAATAGTCAAAATTACAATGATACCAATGTATTATTAATTGCATTTAGAAAGAATATGAATGAATGTTAGATACTCTGAAGGAAATGAATTCTGTTTTCCCTTTCCAGGAAACATCACCTGAGTAAATTTTGCTCATTGGTCCACTTTACAACCCATTTGCGATACCAATGTGCACTTGGAAAATTCGCCTTCGGTTCCCCATAAGTTACCTAGAACTGTATAAGTGTAGAGAAATTTCTTCTGAGAAACCAGTCACGACTATTTCCAAAAACATCATCGTATAAGTGGGGAGGGCTCACCAATGTACCCGCTATGTAGCCTAACTGACAGGTGCATGAAGAAGTGAGCAGGCCACGAGAATTTCACCATTGTTAGTACAGATATAGTCCCATCGCATTGTGCGATTTTGAAGGAGAACATTTGAGGGGGGCGTCCGATCCCTCTTCCCGTACCAACAACCTCTCGAGAGGTCTTTCGGCTCGCCATGTGTGTTTTGAGAGCTCCCTTGCCGCACAGACTCTTGTTACAATTGACTCTTGTTACTCCGCTACAAATTTTAATATTCCATAGAGATTTTTGGCTGGGCAATAGAATACTCCAGTACAAGTGCTGATAGTTATATAACAGACGGTACAGCAGCTCAGCTGGTGGTAAGTAGGTAAGTAAACCTGTTCGACGGAATTCTTGCGATGCTGATTCTGATTAATAATGCAGTGTTTAACATTAATAGGAAATACCAGTGACTTATGCTTACTGAAAAAATCTTTTCCGGTGATTGCTGTAAGTAGTAATTGCAGAAGGAAATGGCGATGTAAAATCTAGCATCGCCAAACGAAACTGACGCTAGATGCAACACAAGCATATCCTTATTAACAACCATCTCCGCAGAACATTTTGGACACTCCACATCAGTTTCAATTGAAGGAAATAAACCAACTTCTGAAATAAATTGTATAACACTTTCCTCGGACTCCGAAATTGTCAACCATGTAAATATATTCACATTCACTAACAATGGATGCATAAACTCACTAAAATATACAGTGACTGAAGAAAATCAATAGTCCGTAATAGTAAATAGTCCGTGGAATTCAACACTCTGAACTTCCTACACACAACACAATCGCGCCAAATAAACACTCGCTAAGTTCCGCGCTTACCCCGCTTACGGAAGATTAACTGAAATCGGAATAAAATAAAATAATATAAAGCACAGAGAAGCTGCCCGGTCGGTATAGTGGTCAGGGAAGCTGAGTGCGATGCCGAAGGGCGTGGGTTCGAATCCCGGAGAAGGCATGGTTGTAACTGTCCGTCCCCTCATAGAAAAGGCGATGGTGGCCCACCTATTAGGTGCCTCCATAATAAAGAGACCACCACATCTGGCCTTGTATAGATTAATGGACTAGGTTTTATTTGTAATTGTTCACAATCTGCCATTGGGAAAAAAAAAAAAAAAAAAAAAGTTTACAGAGAAGCAACCTCTTGTTCCGCTCCAGCAAAAAAAAAATGGCACTTTCCAGTTTAAAACATGCGGGAATGCTAGAGGGTTGCCGAAATGGAGTAGAAATACAACCGTCCGAATAGTGTGCCAAGCCAGAAAATCGCCAATACGGTCCTATACTCTAACTGTACCAGATTGAGAAACTCCACTCAAAATGGACTCAAAGTTTAGCTTATAATACAGTACAGCCATGAATCTTCAAGCAGTGACTAATTATGACTAGCAACAGAAAGAAACTTAAGTGGTAATCGATAGTAACTACCTGATTTTCTTCAGTCACTTCATGAGATAAGGCATCGAGTAGATGGAAATCACTATCCAACATTTTGAAGGTCTCAAAGGGACAGCTGATTCTCCACATTAGCTGGACTCCCAATAAAGGCAGAAATAACTTTTCACGTTTCCTGCTCAAAAATGTAATTATTTTTCTATTTTTACTTCCTTGTAGGAAGTGCTGAAATCGCGAAAAATTTTGTATCATATTTCAACGGAAATGTCCATTTTGACCGTTTCCGAATCCATCTGGACAATTTTTTTGCATGACGTCTGCACTCACGGACAGAGTAAAGGACTCTTCTTCTTCTTTTTTTTTTTTTTTTTTTTTTTTTTTTTTTTTTTTTTTTTTTTAACCGGATTTTTAAAAACGGATTCAAAAGTGACTTTTTTACGTAGATACATATGTCGCATAACTCAAAACCGATTAGCCGTAGAACGTTGAAATTTTGCACATTAGACTGCTATAACATTTAGTTGCGCACCTCACCTTTTAATTGCAATCGGCAGTATCAAATATATATAATTATATATAGACAGAAAAACAAGAAATTTAGGAGATATTATACACAAAGACCCAAAGAAAGGTGAAATTCAGTACCAATAAATTTCAAAATATCCTATCAATATACAGAATAAGAATTAAAGAAATGTGAAATAAAAACCTAAAAATTATGAAAACCTGAAAATAATTACCAAAACCAGAAAAATAAATAAAGAAGAAGAATTCAATGAAATCTAATGTAACGTTATCGAGAGGAGGATACATCAGACTCAGTTACAATCTCCCTTCCACTTGAAAACCCTTAGGTTTCTGAATTCAAAATTAGCTGATGAACTACCATTCTAAATATTTTTAATTAATAGCACTTCATCTTGAAGAAGTCTTCCTCGATGCAAGGAAAATTCAATGTCAAATCAAGCGAAAGAATAAAAGTACACTTTTTCACTGAATTTTTAATTGAAACAAAAAATAAATAAATCGAGAACATAAATTAAAAACTTACTTAGACGACCATGTCTCTTCATCTAATAAACGACTGGGGAAAGGTACTTGAACTAGTCGACAAATTAATTCGGTTATTGACGAGCTATCTTCCACCGCATTTTAGCTTTGAAACTATCGATCATTAGATGTTTAGGACCGAGAGACAGGAAGTGATCAGTCATTACCTTTGAAAATGAGGTTGGACATGCTCTAACTGTAACTGATGAACAGTATCATGTTATGCTTCATCCGACTTTCATGATATTAACTCTTGGAACACTACGCAATAGAATGCGGCCATGGCACGTATTGCGCTGTTCGCTGTATAAGGGCGACATGGGAGGTGTTTGGCAAACATTGTGATTTTCCTGCAATTTCCTATAGAAACTGTCCTCTTCCTATACAGAAAATATATGATTGTTTCTTAAGGGTTATCTTTAGAAGAAGATGCTTATGAGCAATCCCAACACTGTATAGCGTACATTCGAAACATGATTTGCAGCTAAACCCATATAACAATACGACAAGAGTTGTGGACTTCCGTCTAAATATATGGCGTTAACTCTGCGATGAATCCATTTGTGTTAGATTGAAAGTCTTGAACACATACAATGTACTCTCCGTTAATTCGAGCTAATCCGGGTAGATCACGGATAACTGAAAAATCGGATAATCCAAACTGTCAATTTTCATCATACAGTATGCGTTTATTTCTTGAAAAAAATCATTAATTTTTCTCGTACTTTGTTTTTGAAAACGTTTAAATATTGCTGAGTTTAACTTAATATTTTCGAAATGCTATTTAATCATTGCATTCGAATCCCCTTTGGTTGAAAGTGCACTTAAGTTTCAAAAGAAGTCATTGCTCTGTCGGAATTAATGTGACATTCAGTAGCTCCTTCCTTGTATAATTCGGTACCACTTTCGGCCTGTCCTGTCCTTCACTCAAACACTAAAAGCCCTGCTCAGTCGAATCGCTATTCTTCCATTTTCCTCATCGAATTTTCGAAGATTTTTATATTTTCAATTTTTTGGTATGCAACTTCAGTTATTCCTTCGACTTCTTCACAATGAGGTGAATCTCCGATTTCTATATTAGAAAGAATCTTTATCTATCATCGAACCAGCGTTATTGGTTTTACTTTCTAATAAGTTTTAGCTGCTCCGTATATGACATCCATTGCATTCAACGTTTTCCAGAACTTCATTTGACTCATCTTGGTCCATCGGCTGAATTAAACTGGTAACATTCGGTGGTAAAGTTTACATGTGTTTGTGTTTTACAAGGCATCTACGCCCGCAGATAATACGCAAACCGAAAAATTCGCATCCGCATAATCGAGAATAATGTACATGGCATTATCTTCACTGTCTAGCCATAAATGTTTTACATGTTATTTTACTAATTTGAGGGGAAATATACATAAATTTGCAGCACCTTCACATTCAAATTGTATTTGCAGCACCTTCACATTCTTTTCGTCCACTATCGCCAACCCAGGATCCGTAATACCTGTAATCAGAATTAGTTCGTTAATGTTTAAACTGAAATCTGAAACTTCATAATTCATTTTTCTGTTTTAATTTATATCGATTTATATGTGTAACTTCCTTAAGTTTAGTGTTAATGATGCATGCTAAGCTTTTTATTTAAGATGTTGTCCTCTTCTAATATCAGAACTGTTGGAACTGTGGAAGGAAAGCGAGCGAGACCTGCAGTGGCTGCAACGTGGCCAGGTACTGTGGTTCCTTCTGCCAGCACAAGGACTGGGATTCTCACCACCGGATATGCGGTCAAACATCCGGCAACCACCCATCCACCTCATCCTCCGGTACTCCACCAAGGACAACAACAGATCACCACAGTCCGAGTCCCTCCCGGACCTCATCAATGATCGATGTCAAGCCAATCAAGATAGACAATATCTAACCCCCACGACATCCTATATGCTTCAACAGATTGTAACAAAAAGGATTTCGAACTATGTGCGGTTTCTTGCAGACGCATCCGTAATCGCCATTGATCAAGACTGATTTCTGAGCAATAACAATAGCTTTATGATAACAAAATTTAACCAGCAAGTTAGCAAGTAAGCTTCTAGTTAACAACAAGTTTTGTTAACAACAAAAGTTAATAAGCAAGGTGTATTTATAATGTATGTGTTTCGAAAAGTATACAGCTGTTTCGATCTATTACTTTTTTGTGTTTCAACAAAGCGAGGAACAGTCCTTTAAATTGCGCAAGGTTATTCTTCTAAGAACTTTCGCAACCCATAACTAAATTGAGAGAATATAGGAAAAATATACTCATTTAGTAGATTTCAATGAATATTCAGGATAATTCTTAGCTAAAATAATTAAAATTGCAAGATAAAAAAATTGCCCACACCGGCTTCAGATTCGGTTCGTAAAATTAAATCGTTTACAGACGCAATTTTCAGTTTTTTTTTTTTTTTTTTTTTTTTTTTTTCCCAAACATGGAGATTAAATTATGATAGAAATATATAAAGCGTGAGATTGTGCAACAGAGAAAACAAATTAGGCTAAAATTTACCGATTTAGGTTAGTTATTAAAGAACTCTTATTCTCGAGGATTCTTATAACTTTGAAAATTAGAAGGAAGAAAAGGAAATAAATAATAAGAAAAAATTTTTAATTCACTTAAAATTTTAGCTTAAAAAATAAGTTTACAAAAGCATTAATAAAATTTCTTGATAACGCGTAATATGTCTAAACCTAACTTAAATATGTTAATGATAATTATAACTCTCTATAAATAAATCACTTGGAAACTGAAGATCACGTTTCAGGGACAGAATAATTAGGATCTGGCTAGCAGCGAATTAAAATAAAATGAACCCTAGCTAATATTCTCTGTTTAAGCAATCTTGTAAAATAAACGTGAAATTTTATTACTCGTTCCAATTACAGCTCACGGTTTTCAAATCTTCATTTAAATACGGGAGATTGCCGGAAAAACATTATTTTCTTAAACTTCATCCTCAGTACGTTCGCTGCAATCCCCCATGAAACATCTATGTCTGATTGCATAGATTCTGATGCACTATCTCTCTTATTTCATTGCTGGAAATTTTTTTTTCCCAGTAAGTCTTCATTCATAATCCTGGTAAAGCAATATAAAGGTGTTCCACAACTTAAGTAGTTACATTGGTGCTAACATTAACTTTAGGAGCAAGATTAAGATTATAAATGCCTGCAGGTAATTGCCAAACCGCAATTACCTGTAAGTTTGTCGGCTTCGCTCTTCAGTTGTTTCAAAAACATCAGCGTACGCTCCATGATAGTATCCATATCCGACACCTAGCGTCGTTTATTGGCAGATCCTTCTAAGTCCTGGATGTGCGAATGCATAATGCCCTTAAAATTAACAAAATTCAATGCAGAATTAGCGGCCACTCCAACGCAGCTTTGATTATCCACAGTATCATCCGCAGAGACGCTTCCATCTATGCGATTTTCAGTATCGTCATTTGGCTGAACAACTTCGAAATTCTCACTCATGGACGAGCGACCTTATACGCGTATATGGATATTTACAGCATTTTCCATCTACCGCTTCAAAGTAGGCTGTTCATTAACATAATATGTTCTTGCATGTACATGCATTGATACCTCAAACTGCAAACTTACTTTGCAACTGCTTGCTTATGCTATGCTACATCACAGTATTAAGGTTATATTCTGCCTGTCTCTCGTGTTGTGTAAACTCCAAGTATTGAAACTGGCAAATGAATCTTTTCGTGAAATTGTTGTAGAAGCAGTGAGCTACAAAAGACATATTTAGCGCGAATTTGTTATGCAAAAAATAAATGCATCTCGTTTAAAATTATGTCTTGGGATATTGACTTTTAAAACTTCGTCAAGAAACCGCAAAGGGAAATTTTCTATAACTAATGACATTGTTTTGTTTTAGAAGAAATACACGTGTATGTCATTTTTTTATATATGTTGTAATTAGTTCCTAAACTCGAGGTACAAACAACATTTGGTACCTTGGTCAAAAGGATTTCGTGTGTATATTCAAAACAAGTTTGGACTTAGAGTTTTCAGTGTGAGATTACCAAAGAACTGTTGTAAATATTATAATGTGTAAATAATTGTGTGTTGTTTTTCATATTCATTTTTTTCTCCTGTGTTCAAGCATTTGACTATTGTAAATGTTGTTGGGAAAAAAACGAATATTTGGAGAATACTGTTTGAATAAGCCACAGACATATAAATTGCATTACTACTTTAGTTAAAACTTAATAATTATTGAAATGATTTTTTAAAATGTTAAAAGTATGTTCTTAAAATGAAATGAATAAATCACAGTGATGCTAAATTGATAATAAATGATGCTACGTGCTAAATTTTCCAATGGACAAAATCTCAGTTGCTGTGTTACGGAAGTTGACTATGTGTTTTTTTATTATTCTTTTAAAAAGTAAAAGTCATCTATGTTAGAAAATACACATTTTCACTTGATACTAATTAAAATACCTTATTACTTCGAGTTTAAACTATCCTCAAATTTAAGTCGCAGTTTTATTTTAAAGCTGTAAAATCATAAAAAAAAATTTTAAATAAAAATTACTTTGATAGGTATTGAAAAGTAAGCATTTTTATTTTCTTAAATGTAAGCTACTTAATTTTATCAGAAATAAATATTAAATTAATCGCTTTAAATTTCAGTCGCCTTCTTAGTGTAATAAAATTCTAAGTAAAATATGTGACTTCAGTTCAAAGTAATACTATATGAAAATTACAAACTATACTATTTTGCATAATTATATATTCTTATTTTGGTAATATTTTTACTAATTTTCTGTGATTTATAATTAGTAAAATTAAATTATAAAGGTTTATTCGTAATTTTTTAAATAGTCGGTGTAAAATAAAATTTTTAAATTTGATACATTTGTAGTTAACAAATAGTTAACAAGCAGTAAATACAGCCTCTGCAGTCGTTTGTAATAAATTATAAGAAAAAAAGTTGTTGAGGTTAAAATCAAATCCGCTCTTTATAATTCTAAATGATAATAAATTCTAAGCAAATGGAATAAATGGTAAATAACTAAACGAAACGAAAGCTTAGCAGAAGTGCTGTATAACACCAAAATTTTAACCATTAAAATAAACGGGCAATTTTTAATGAAGTAACATATTCCAGGCACAGTTTTGTTGGGCAAGACAGAATATACGTAGTTATTCCCATAGAGTTATATACCCATAGAGTAACATTACATAATTTTTATTGCAAAATAAATTAATAGACAATTAATATATTGCATAATCAGAAAAATTACAAAGCATATGGAGCAGATTTAACTAGTCAAGGATCTGTTGCCATCATTTAAATGTAATAAATTTTAAAAAAATGCTGTATGTCTGTGGTATTGTTCGAAGCCCTCTTTATTGTGGAGCTGTGATCTGGCATGTAAGTAAAATTAAATACGAGTTTTAATTGCAGACTGAAACTGTTGTTTCTTTTACAGTTTAAGATTCATGTACGTTAAATATAAATATTGCATTTTTTTCATTCTTTTCTAAGTTCGAAGAGAAAATTTGAGTGTTATTTATATTTTTTTACAGCACCATCTTGAATGAAAATTTAACAAATCATACCTGAAATAACTAAATTGAATTTTATGAAGTATTTTCACTCTTTGTTAATTATTAAGCTGTTCATTTATTAATTATTGTTAATCTTATGTATTGTTTTTAAGAATGGAAAGATGCAGCGTTTTAATTTCGGGGAAACTATAACATCCTTTAAACTGCAGGCATTTCGTATGACAGGTTGTGGATATTGTTCATTTTTCTCAAATCCAATTAAATGCAGACGTTCTTAAATCAAGCTATTCCAAATTTTTAAATTAAAAGTATCTGCCTGTATTTTAGCCTAGAATTATTTCTGCACAAAACGCCAACCGTTTAATTGCTTTATAACCTTATTTTGGCATTTCGGGCAAAGTTTTGCAAAACAGCTTAGTAGTTATATTCTTGCTACGATGGAACACCACCACAAATGTTGACTGGCTGTTGAAAAGAACTTTTGTTTGCTTACGTCCACAGATAATTACTTAGTTCATATTTTTTCAAAACAGTAGTTTTATTAAAAAATACTAATTTATCAAAATTATAATTGTCTTTCTGTCTTCAAGTTAGGTACAAAATGCTCAGATTTTGGCCGGTTTAGCAGTTTAGAAATACTAAGCACAAAGAATTTTATATAAGATGATCTTCTTGGTTCTATATTTTCTATATTTCCTTCTTCTTGGTTCTATATATTCTATATTTTCACTCAGTTCACGGCTATACATGTGTATATATTCCAGAATTCGGTAAAATTTTCAGGTGGATATTTGGATTCTTTTCTTACTTTAAAATTACGAATTTCATATCAGTTTATTACGCATCTGGAGTTTAATCATGCAGATGAAGAATTTTTAAAGTTTTGCCGTGACAAGTGTTTATTTTTAATTTCAACTTTTACATTTTTTTTTTTTTTTTTTTTTTTTTTTTTTTTTTTTTTTTTGTGGACGATTTGAAATTGTATCTTGCAGATTAATTCGTTCAAAATATATTTCTTTTGAAAATTTATTATGATTTAAGGCTAAATATCATGAAATATGAACACCACAGAATATATGATATACTCATAAAATATGATCCGTACAGAAATATTTTTAAGTATCCATCAATCTAAAATTAAATTTAAAACTATGTCTCAAAATATGGTTGAATAGTGATTTTTCTTTTAAGTAACATTTAATTAAAATTACATTTTATTCCCGAAGTCGCAACCTTAGTGGCCAGTGCATAAGCACGGAGCAGAAAAGTATGAATGCATGAAAACTACTCCTAAGAATAAAGATTACAACCATAATATTACAAAAGAGCATATTAGGCTGTAAATAATATTTAGGCTTTCACACCTAAGTAATAATATTATTAAGTTTTATATTTTTAAGCTAACACCTTTAGGCCCGTAACTGCATTCCTTCTGCGAAAAAATTAAAGTGTAGTTCGAAGAGTCAGGATACCAGAAGCGATGTCTAATGTCTGATGACATAAAAGGGACTTTGTAATAAAAAGCAATTATAGGCATAATTGCTTTTTAAGCCTAATTTATAAGGTCTCTTGCTTTGGAGCAAATATTAAAAGCAAGTCTTTCCAGTAAAACAGAGAGTGAAAGATAAAATGGCACATAAGCTATGTGGTACTTGAGCAAGAAAAGGCTTATTCAAAATACCAGTCCGACGCATTTTCCAGTCTTCATTCACAGCAAAGATGAGTATTTTTAGTGACATTAAGTAATTCTGTGCATATGCCCATTATTATTGTTTTTATTAATTGGATGTCAAATAAAAATGCTGCTTCTGTCCAAGTTTTTATTTTAGTAGAGCTGAATTTTTATTCTTCATTTAAATGTTGTATTACTTGAATGTTGAATTAAAGTGCTCAGTGTCCCCCTCCAAAAGTCAGTGGAATAGTCAGTAAATAGTAGTTTATTGCATACATTTTTTTTTTTCATTTTTTAAAAATTAAATGTTTCATCCTGAACGTAAAAAACAATAAACTTTATGCAATATCGAGGGGGAAAAACAAATGTGATTTCCTTTGTAATCTAGTCAATGTATTAAGTGTATACGATGTTTTAGAAATATATCTTGTACACTCAAAAAGATTGCATAAAAGTAATAAAATAAATGATCTAAATGTTTCTGTTAATCTTTTCCATGCATATTACTATCAAATATAGCAGATTATTTCACAAATATTAGAATCTTATTTTGAATATTGTTGCTTTAAACACTATAGATATAATCTAGAGTTTAAAACACGATCACTTAACAAATTAACTTTAATTCAAATTAAGAATTTTAATTTCTTAATTTGGAATCTTTTCTTAATTTTTCTGATTAAGTAAAATTTTTAATTTTTTGAAATTTTGTTTCTAAAGAGGACCATTAAACAGACTGAAGAGGATCTCGCATATTTAAAATTTCAAAATAGAGCGGAAGCATAAAATTTTATTTTCTCGTTTAGCCATTTTCGTACAGTTTTCGTTTAATTTTTTTCTTTGTTTCTTACTTTACCTAAGCCCTTTTAGAAGCTACAAATTTACTGCAGATTTACGAAGATGCGCATTTACAAACGGCGTTGAAGATTTAAAAAGTGTCTTACTAGAAACAAATATCTCTGCCATCGTAATTCTCTCGACAAAGATATTTTTATGTAACTGTTCGTAAATACGTAGAAGGAAGTGAAGTAATAGAGATAATCGGCGTTTGTAAGTCTTTTTAAATTACTGCTGCTCGGAATTATTAAATAATTGAAAGAATTAGATGAGGTACTTTTATTCCTTTGATTTAAACTGCTTAATACGTTGCTTTTAAAGCGGACCTACGAGTTTCAAATATTGAGTTTTATATAAATGATGAATTAGGAGTAATGAAAGTCAAAGAATAATTTTAAAATCGCATTCTATCTTCTTGTTATTTCTAATCAGCGTTCAATGATTAACCTGTGTATTGTGTCGTCATGACATCCTCTTCACCGTCTGAGGCTTATCAAAGGAAAAAAATATGAATTTAAATGCAGAAAGTGCCATTTCAGTTTGTAAATTTTTAAAAGAAAATTCCTGTCGGGGAGGTGTGTTCCACCTCGCCCACATAATATATTGGCAAACAGAAAGGGCACCCAAAAGATCATCATACAAAGCACTATCGTGACACCTTCGTTACATCCTGACAACTTTACTCGTATGCTGCCTGAAATAAAGATCTTTTGGGCCCGTATTTAAAAGTATTTTCCCACAGCCAAAGCGGAAAGCATGAGCCAAAGACACCATTTACACTATGAAATGCGTTGGAGAGCTCTCGAAGCGTTGTAGGCTGGTGCAAGACAGTCTGCTGTTACGAGAAAGCTGAATGTGCATCGTTGTTGTTACTTATGTTCACTTGTCTGACAGCAACATCAGTCCAAGCCAATGAATTTCCTTGTGGTGAGAAGCGCTTTAGATACGTCTGTCGTTGGCAACAGCTTTGAGCACCTTACAGGTGACAGTGCGATTTTGCATGAATTCCGATTTTGCTCAATAACATCCATGCCTTCTCCGGGATTCGAACTCGGGCTCTTTGGCACGGCAAGTCAGCGACGCTAACCACTATACCATTTGGGCGGTGAATGTGCATCGTATTGTCATCAACAGGCTGCGGAATCATTACTAAAAGGTTCAAAACCTCTGCAGACGTGGGTCTGGACGGCAGAAGATCGCTTTTTGTTGCTATGTGTAAGACGCCGTAGATCACTAACAGCATACCACGACAGCTAGCATCGCATCTGTCTGCTGCCACAGGATGGCCCACATTCAGCCTGTGTCGCGTCGACTCCATGAAGGTGGACTTTACGCCCGACAACCTGTGTTTTGTATTCCTTTGTCCCTATCGCATCTCAGAGCGCAGTTGAATTGGGCCAGTGAACATCGCAGTTGGACATCAGAGCTGTAGGACCACGTACTGTTTATGGATGAGTCTCAATTTAGCATCCAGAAGGCATCATCGTGAAGGGCAATGATATGGCGACAGCCAGCGACACGCTATCAAGCGCCAAACATCGTCGAAAGAGACCCTTGCAGAAGAGTTTACTTGCATGGGCTCGGATAGCAACGAACGGCCGTACCGACCTCTACGTGATTCCTATGATTTCGTCATAACCATCCGATATCGTAACGAAATTCTCTACACCCTTTTGTACGAGTTCTGCGCATGTACGCGCCATTGAGGTGTGTGATTTTGTGAGCTCTCAAGTTTACTCTAATAATTTGGTAATTACATAATTTTTTTCAAGAACAGTGTGCATTTTCTGGTAAGTGTATGTTTCTTTATTGGATTATTGCCTGTGTTCCTGCTTGGGAGCATTATTTTAGAATTTATTAGCGATTTCTTCCCCAAGCTGTTGTAGGCCTGACGTGGAGGCCAATGTTTACATTGCCTACACTTAATTATGTGCTTACTACGACTATTTAAACGTGTGTTTTCTTACTTTGAAGTGAATTCGGTAAGTACTGATTATATTAAATTCTTAATTTTGTTTTCATCTGCATAGACTTTTTGTTGAAAAATGTGATTTTCATAGAAAGCGTGTTTTAAGTGTGTTCATATTTATATTTTGGCTGTGCGAATTCAGGAGTACTCTTTTGTGTTATACTATCGTACTTGGTATGCAAGTTTATATATATTTTGTATTTCATTGCATACAGAGTTTTTCGTAAGTTGTGAAAATACATTTTGAAGTTGTGAGTTTTGATTTAGTCACTGTGAAAATATTTTTTGAAGTGTTACTTCAGTACTTTTCCATTTCGCCGGCGCCAAAAATGATACAACCAACGCCAAACGGAATATCTCCGCTGGTAACCTTTTACCGCCTTATTTTCTAAACAAGTTGCTGTCATTTTTTATTAATCACGTCTTTTTCCTAATAAGTTACAAAAAGGGTGAAAAACCAATGAAAATTTGAGATTTTCTCGGAAGAGAGGAAGAATCTGTCAGATTCTTTCAAGCGAAAGGCGTTCTCGGAAACACTATTTCGAAGACTTAATTCAATGGCGAAAGGTTTGCAGCATTTTATGACTTTTAATCAATTGGATTTTTCATGCGCAGTGCTATAATTTATGTAAATTACCTCTTAAATGTATTAAAGTTTTAATTTTATTGATGGAGGGGAAGGAATGAGAAATTATAGAGAATTTTTTTTTCCAATATTTTATTATGTTTCATTGCCGAAAACAAGATGTCACAAATTAAGGAATAACCTGCGGAAAGCGAAATTGCTTTTGTTCATAAAAGAGCGAATGGGGATATACTTGAAATTTTAAAGGGTATGAATGGTATTGTTGACGTATTACGTGGAAAAAAAGAGTATCGAAGCAGTTAGTGGAGGAACTTACTAGTCAAGGATTGAAACAAATTGCTGATTGGGTTGAGAAACATACCTTCAGGTTGGCTGAATTAAATTTAAGACAAAAGTTTGGTTTGATTGCTGACGGAATTTAAGAATGTATTAAATCACCGCGAAATCGAATTAAGAAGGCCCTTCCTAGTGGGGATGCAGTGCATAAAATTACGCGGGTGGCGAAAATCAGGGGCGATCGGACTCTCGTGATACCACGACTAAATATTTTAAATTCATTGTAAGTACTTATAATGTACTTATGTATTTAAATTCATTGTAATACTTATTTATTACAATGAATTGTCATATGTAAGTAATTAGTGAATATGAAATAAAAATTTTATTAATCATTGAACTTTTTTTTTTAATTTTGGGGGTAGCAATCCTATGAAAGTGCGCGGGCAGCCAATGGCCTAGGAACGGCCCTAGAATTAAGGCCATTACAGTAGAATAAGACGACGACAAGAAAAATATTCTTATAAAAACTTGGAAAGAGATAATGAGATTATTTTAAAGCTTTAGAAGAAGTGGTGGATATTTGTGTAAAAGTAATCTTAGCCCCCAAAAAATGGGAATAAATATTACGCATTCTTATTGTGGTTCTTGAGAGATAATTCTTATTGTGATAAAAGCGGTTTCCTTAAAGAATAGTACCAAGTATTGGAAAAAAAAGATTTCTGACAATGAGGAATTTAAATAACTTGGTTCGTTCGAAACGCAAAAGCTTTATTAGACCGAAAATAATTATATACAGCGTTTCTGATTCTATCTCAGATGATCATTTTCTTGAAAAATAATTGTGTGTATTCTGGTGAATGTGTTTTTAGGATGAGAGCCTCTGAGAGAAAGAGGTCTCAGGTTAGGTAGACTTTAAGGTACCCCTTGTATTATGGCGAAGTTGTTGTTTGATTTAGCTCCAAGTTGTTGTTTCATTTATGGTAGCCTGAGTAGTTGAATTTTATGGAAACCCTATTGTGACGTAATCGGGTGCATGATTCTGGGAAATTTTGAATCATGGGATGTTTTGTAAGCGTTTTTGTGGTGTGTGTTAAAACCGGTTAGATGGATTTGAATTGGTTTGTAGGAAGAAAGGTTCAGATGGTCACTATGTGAAGCGTTCGATCAGAAAGAGTACCTGGTTTGAAAAAAGTCATTTGAGTATGATTAATATTTTGATTTTTACGTGGCTCTGGGTGTACGAAGCGAACTCAAAAATCATGGTAAGTGCATAATTGCTTTTGGTAGTGCTTAAATGTATAACATGTTTTTCCTTTTTTATGTTATTTTATTGTTTGGTTTAAAATGTATTTCATTGAGATTATGTATTTTTTGTTTGCCTATATTGTAGAAATTGGTGCTCCTTTGACTTTTTAAGCGAAAATATATCGATATATACATGGGGAAAGTAAAGGGAGTGCGCAATGCCATTTTTGTGCAATTCGGGGATTTTTTTAAGTGAAAATAGGTCGACGTAAGGAGTGCGCAATGCCACTTTTGTGCAATTCGGCGGGTTTTTTTTAAGTGAAAATAGGTAGATGTGTACATGGATGCCGAGTTTGTGCAATTGTTTGTCTTGTTATTTTGGCTTTGTGTAGCGGCGATTTTTACGTTAAAAATCGCCTCTTCGCAAGCCAAAATAACGAGTCAAAGAATTGCACAAAATCGGTATCCATGTACCGCCAAAAATTGCCAAGGGGTACCCTAAACTATACTTGTACCAGAGGTCTCTCATCAGGCATTTCAGATCTCGGCCAACAAAGCTGTTTA